GGCCCCTCCGCGCCGTCGTGCAGCGTGAAGCGCCGCGTGGGGTAGCCGCAGTAGCACTCCGTGCCCCGGATCACCGCCAGCGGGAACTCCTGCCAAAGGAGAGCGCGTCAGCGCGCCGGGGCCGCCGCAGCGGTGGCCTGGGCACGGCCTCCCGATGGCGGGAGCAGCGCAGCATTTCTCCTTTCACTGTAAAGCCTGCGTTTCATATTCTATTACTGGAATTTCTGAGTGTTTTTTCTTTATTTATAAAAAAGGAAGTCAGTAATATTCTGCAGCACTCAGTGCAGAATTTCACCTTACATCTTCAGTGAAGCTATAGTTCTTATTTACCCTCCAAATCTGCACTGGCAATCAGATGCTGCCTCTTAAGCCTCCATTTTTAGACTCCAAATTGAGCATTTGGCTGGTAGAAGGTTTAACTTGTTCAGTTGGCTTCACTAGGATTTGTGAAGGAAACCTGCCCTTAAACTTAACGTCGTAAGGGGAAAATGAGAATTCAGACCCACTAACTGCTGCATCTTTCAAAAGAGAGGCCAAGCCCTAAAAAAACACGAGTATCCTAGTATGCCTTTTTCACATATTGGGTAAAGCAAATGTGAGAGTTACTGCATTTATTTTTGGAAAGAGCTTTGAAGAACAGGACACCAAGTGATTTTTACTGCTTGTGTCTGGGGAACTGTGCTGACCGCCCGTGTGGCTCAGCGCGAGGACGCGGAGCTGCCCTGAACTCATGCTTATGAACCGTGAACGCTTCGGGCTATGAGGAATGAGATGTCACTAAACTTTCGGTGCACCCGTCTGACGTGGCTGCAATGCAATAGTGCTGCTGTATTGAGAAATGAAGTGGTGCAGCAGCACCAGGGCCGGGAACATCTGTAACACGGGAAGGAGGGGAGAGAGCTTTGTCCTCAAAGAAACCCTGTCTCCTGTGGTAAGTAGAAGAAGTAAATAAATGGTCTCTGGGGCTGAAGAACTGGTGATAAGGAATAAATCCATGAAGGTCAATTTAGTGCGGTATGAGGAAACATGAGGTCCTGTGCTAATGAATCTTAATTTTTCTTTACCCAGGCACGCAGCTTCCCTCTCAAATTATGCTAATAATAACGAAGAGAAGTTTTAGAAGGAAAAGTGTGCTAATTATTTGCAGAAGAAATATGCAGTTGCTTATGTGCCTTATAGGAAAAGCACACTTACTGTTCGGGTAAAATTGGCCGTAAAATTCAGTCCTCCTCATACTGGGAAGACTGTGCTTGCTTTTTCTTGGGTTTGCAAGGTGTCCTTGATGAGTGGATCAGAAGTGTGTGTGCAGGGGCGGCCTCGACTTCAATGACAGAATGGTTGCAGGAAGCCCAGGGGGTTATTTGAGCACAGAGCATTGAACTCTACCTATTCCATATCAACACTTTTTGCCTTTAAAAATCTTTTGGAGTCTGGAAGCGCGTGACAGAACTGCTGAGCAGCTTATCTCCCGCTCTTACGCCACGTGATTCTCTTCTGATAAGGAGTCAAATACAACACATGTGCCATCTGTGCCCAAACAGCCAACATTTGCTTAGTGAATGAGATGTGACTGTCAGAAACTATTTACGGATTTGATCCAAGGGCAAAATATTTCTGTTTCTGCCTGCAAATACAAGTTTTCCCCTTAAGATGAAGCAGCGTTGTTCCATTTGAGAAATTAGTAAATGACCTGGCCCTCAAGCATAACCTAAAATGAAAATGTACCAATTTTGTTCTACTTGGCATTTGTAAAGTGTTTGTTTGTTTTGGAAGCTTGGAGAATTTATTAAGAGACCTGTTAAGAGACCTAAGTATTTCTTCCTTCCTGGGCGGGGGGGAAGCGGTGCTGGGGCAGTAGCTACATGTGGCTGCGGTTCCCGAGCGCGAGGCTGCGACCGGGCTGGGAGCTGCTCGTGCCTCCGACGTGCTTTAGTGCAGGCAAGGCCACCTGGCCAGGGCGCGCAGCGGATGGACTCGCTCGCTGCCTTTCCCGTTTTAGGGCTGTTACTTGGCCCCTCTGTCACCCTAAAAGTACGGAATTAATTGTGAAGGATGGAGACAAATCATGCCCTTACTCCATTTCAGGAAACGTTCCTTTAGCAACATAAAATGACGCTTCTTTGCTCAGGTAGCTAATTTAGACGTGGCACACACAGTGCCTTTTTCGTGTCAAATCCTTGCACGTTTGTCAATTGCAAAGAGAAACCAAGATAACAAGAATTGCCTCTTTCACCTCCCCACTCCTTATTCCTTCAGTGCTGCTGGCTTTAATATGATGGCAATTTTTAAATCAAAGGAAGACCTTGCCTTTAACTGTTTGAACTGTTTTGTTTCGTCAAGTATATTAAACTGTCAAACCTCATTTTTACATTTGCAGAATAACTGGGGAAATTCAAGTAATAATGTTGCTTTACTCACAACATAAAGGTTTCAGCACCATGACTTGATCCTGAAAATGCAGAGCATTTTTCAGTTCTCTAGGAGATATCTAGGAGTTTATTTCCATAAAAAATAAATATATATGTCTCTTCTTTCTCAAAATGCATGTTGAAGCCAGAGTGTTTTCAGTGAGTGTGCTGTGATCATTGTAAAAGCCTGGCAATAGTTCCAGGGAATGCAGCAGGATCCTGTAGTGCTGGCACTATAATCAGCACCCTGATTATTCGGCTTGTGTGCCGATCTGATGGTGCATGTGGACCGATTGCAAAATAACATATTCGATCCTGTCTTCCCATCACTGTTTAATCAACAGCTAAAATCCATCCACTTTAACTCATTTTGTGTATTTATGCAAGTACCAAATGATGGATACTTCTTTAAGCAAATACATGTTTTTTAAGTGCAGGACTAGTCCACTTCAAGTTCGACACACGTAAATCTGCCTTTCACTTAAACATCACAGTTTACGTGCTGTAACAAAAGCAGTCATTCTCCAGTAGCAACATGGATAATGTAATGATTCAGTTATGGTTTCTGTTAGATAATATTCAAATTATGGATTCCCAATAGAATAAAAACATACCCTCGTTACTCTGCTAAATTCCTTTCCTGTTCCTTTACTAACTTTCTTAAGACAAAGTTTTCTCTTAAAGTGCCAAAAGCATAAGACAGGGATGGGCTACCTGTGAAAGGAAATATCTTTCTCAAGTGCAAATAATGTGTTTGGGTCATTTGAGATTGGGCACGGTCCCTTTGCAGTAAATCTAGATGTCATTCATCGTGGTTCCCTTGGCACGGATGTTCCAAGAGCAAAGCCCTGAATAAAAATGCTGGCTTGTTCATGCTGCCCTGTTACAGCAGGGGGGCAGCCCCTGGATGTGTCCCGATCCCGAATTAACCCCCTCTCGCTGCTCCGACACAGTCAGTGGCCTGTGGTTGCTTGCACCAGCTGAGGAGCTGCCCTGGGTATGTGTTTTACTGTGTCAAAGGGAATTCTAACTGAAGCCCCTCCTATTTCTACAAGGGGATTTGGATCAGAATCCTTTTGTTAATGGGTAAACGACAGCAAATAGCTGCGTTCAGTCTCCAGAATGACAGGTCTGCTTCTGGAGTTGATGTTCTTGGCATATTCTTGAAGAATCACCCTTGTGGATCAAGATGTTGGTATTCTGTGCTTAATATAGTTGTTTTAGTCTTATATACAACTACATAGAATAGCTGACTAATAAAGGGGCCGATTTAAAAAAAAAAAAAAAAAGCCTAAATCAAATGGTGAAGGCTTATCTCCTTTGGGATTCAGGTTGCTTTATGGAAGATCATATATGAAAATTATGGCTTCTGGCCAAGGGACCTGGCAGAGAATCACTTTCCTGGCTGTGTTATGGGATGTTGATGAGTTGCTATTAAGCCATGTCATCACTGTGTTAATTAAGAAAAAAAAGATAATTAAAGGTATTTAGCAGGTTTCATCTAAAGTTGTTACCTCAAATTCATTCCTCTGATGCTTCCACACTCCTACTGCAGTCGAACTAATAAATGTGGTGCGTCTTGCAATTGTTTTTCTTTCAAGCCCTGAAGAGCAAAAGATTTACTTTTGCTTTTAAGTATCCAGCTAGTCCCCTTAAAAGGCCTGCTAGCTTAATCTGAATGCATAAATTTGGTGAGATGGTTCTTTTTCCCGTAATGTGCTGTACTAAAATGACAAGGCTTTCTGGATTTCAGGACAACTAAGGTGTTCTTAGCATCTAGGAAGCCGGACATCTTCTTTTGAAAGGAAGAGAATCGAAGCCAGGACAAATGTTAATAATCTGTTAGAACAGTTGTCGTATCACCTGGAGTTAAAGCTCAGTCTGATCCTGTACCAGCTCCTGCTCACATTGAGTTGCTGGTAGTTTGTGTACATTGTAGTTCTTCCTTCGTTTTGCATTGTATCCTCACTTATTAGAGCATTAATCACTGAGATGAATGGAGTTGCTTTTATGGGGGGTGATTTGAATGAAATTGAAATCTGGCAGTTTGATCGTAGTGGTTTTTTTCCACTTTGACCTGATTATTTGTAGAAAGTGTACACACCAAAAGCAAAGTGTGAAATAAAAATGCGGCCTTCCCCCCAAAGCACTTGCAAGCTGTGTTGCAGGTTTCATCGAAAAAGATCAACCACAGATTTCACAAGTTTTTCCATCCCGCACCCTTCATCCAAAGCTAATAACACTGAGCTGCTCTGTCTGTGCCAGCTGAGGCATGCAGAAAATCACATTGCCACCACAGAAACGTTACAGGGAAAAAAAGAACGGCCAACTTGGAAAATGTGAAATTGTAAGAAAAGGTGTAATCCTGGTACTTGTGATGTTGTGTAGCATTTTCCTAGGAGATAGAAAGTGGTATTACCCTGTACAAGAACTGAATACTGTAATATTCTAAGTCATGCATAATAACTAGACGGGTGGATGTGCAATTGCTGTTCCTCCAGTGGAGGAAGATCTTGCCAGCTTTTCTGCAGGCAAATGTTCTATTCTAGTCATTTTGCAGAGGTGAGAATGGTGCCTAGTAGAACTAAGAGGAGAGAAAAAGGGTAAATAGTTGTTAACCTAGATCTTTCCCTGCTCTTCTGATGAAGCTTTTACTGCACATTTTCATGTGTGGAGGAGATGAGCGTGTGTATATGCATGTAACGTGCCATTTACGTAGGGCAGTTCACTGCAGAGTCAATCCATGATGCCTTCTCCAGACACGCTGGTATAAAGGATAGGTTGACTGGGAATGGCCTTCCCACTCGATATTGCAGAACTACTAAGATTACTCTAGCTGGTTATTAAGGAAAGTTGTTGTTCATACCTTAATAGTTTTAATCAATCTTGTGATGCTAGCAGACAAAATAATTGCATGTTTGCCATAGTGCAGAAGACTGTGGCTGCAGGCTAAATGCGACCACAAAGGGAAGCTTCTGAAAAGCCCATGAGAGCAGGAGGACGGGAAGGGGTCCCTCCTCCAGCAGCAGCCACTAAAGCACGAGGGGCCAGATGTGCCCTCCCGTTAGGCTGCCTGCATCTACGAGGGTCAGACCCTCTTTCGGCTCGCGTGTCCATGGTGTGACTGGACAAACTAGGGTGTCTCTTCAGAGCAAGAGCCCCCAAGCAGCCATGGGTCTGGCGTGTGCCGGAGCCAGTACCGCACTGCCCTGCTCTGGGGTCCTGCTGGCACCGAGCAGCCCAAACGCAGCCCGTCTCCAACGTGGAAGAGGCTTGTAAAGAAGGTGCAGAGAAGCTCCCCTGCACTAGGTATGCTTGCCTGCTAAAACAGTTCTCTTGTGGCTATTTTTTAACTGAGCTTATTATGCTGAGGGTGCTGAAGCTGTGTTTAAGGAGGACAGATGCAGCTACATGCTGAACGGTGGGCAGGGGAGCAGTGGGACCTTTGCTGAGGGCTGCTGCTTTGCGCGCTGCAGAGCTGCTGTTCCCAAGGCCCCGCTGCAGCCCGGGGCTCCCCGTGGCTGCAGGAGCTGGGACGCGCGCGGTGCCGCCCCGGGCGCCTCCGCCTCTGCTCTCGGGTGCGGTGTGACAGGGAAACAGAACTGACCTTTCCTGCGGATCGTATTTGTCACGTAAATGGCTTTTCTGCGCATCACATCCAGTGGCATAATTCTAACAACCTTCCTTCCCACCTTCCCCATGCAAGAGCAAGCGGACCAGATATATCACTAGATATTTATTCTGATGAGTTTTGTCCTTCAGAAACTCATTTACAAATTCAAAGCTCTAAGGTACTAAACTTTCCTATTCTCTTAGTAGATTAAAATTTAAAATAACAAAAAAAAACCCAAAAAAAAACAAAAAAAAAGAAAAAGGATGTGAAATGAGAACTGTTCTTACTTTCTTGGAGCAAAATTCAGAGCACATCTCCACCGTCAAATTGGGCTGTATCAAAGAGGCTGGAAAGGTGTCTGTTAAATTTTCTGGAGCTCTAAAACATCCTCGATAGATAACATTCCTCCCTGCAGGGATATGAAATAGGTTTCTCTTGAGAAAACAATGTCCATAGTATCCTACCACTATCACAAAGAACAATATTTGGTTCAGAAGCTAAAAAAATAAACTTTATATTCCAAATGCTTTAGAAATAAGAGAAACCATGATATACACTAGAAAAGCGTGTTCCAAATCCCATGGTGTTGAAAGGAGCACATGCCTTTAGCTTTGTACTGACTGCTAAAAGTAGGGCTGCAGCAAAGAGTTTAAATTAAATTCCACCAGTGGAGGGCATTGCTATTGTTTGCAAGTTCCAGTTTTCTTTTGAGGACATACTTTCCCCTGAAAGGCTTAAAAACCCTGATAAAAATCTACAAAGCTTCCCCTGATCTGCACAAGAAAAGGAGTGGAATTTAAATGAATTCAGAAAGCCCCTAAGGGACTCACCTTCCTGCACAGCTGCTGCGGTACTGAGATATCCCTCTTCTCTCCCTATTCACTAGCTCCTTTCAGGGAAAGGGGGTTTGCTGCATCCCTCGAAATCTAAAGGAGGCTTTTGTGAGTTGTTCAGGGAGAAAAGCTCTCCTAAAGTCTTCAGCATCAGCTCTGATCTCATCTGCTCTTGTATAAATGCCACAGAGCTTGGCAGAGTTGCTCCATTTTTTCATCAGTGTGAGATCAGGATTTGGCCCTAACCCTTGCTACTTATAGTAGTATAATTCTCCCTCCTGCTCCTAATAAAACCAAACTTCCTCCTGATAAAACCAGATGAAATCCCCAAAGTATCGTAGAAACTTACTGCCCCAGGCATAGCAATGGGCTCACGGAGGTGAACTGATGGTAATGAGGACAGTGATATTGTGCGACTAGGTTAGAAAGAGAGGAGACTCTTTGTTGTGCAGCACTTCCGAAATCCCTGGAATTTTATGGCCTTTACAAAGGTGGAAAATGTCTTCATGTCATGGATGTTTGGATAAATAGAGATGAAGTAATTTGCTGGCGTCACTTAATAGGGAGAAATGTGGGTTTGAGGATGAATTTGGGTCTTCTGAGTCCTGTCCATCGCTGTGTTCTTGAGGCACTGCTGCCTATTGTAAGCAATTCTCAACAGAATTGATGTGGAAATGTGTTGGATAAGCAGCGATGTAGTGCCATTTTGAAGGACGGTTTTGGTTCTATGTGAATTTTCTGTTAGAAGGGCCCAGATTCTCCCCTAGGAGCCAAAAGCAAATCTCTTCAGCCCCTCTCTTACAAGGGTGTTGGAGGTTTGTCCTTGGCCGTACAAGGGTGTGCCTGGGTCAGACAGGGGATACGCTCCAGAAACGCGTCTCCCGAACGGTCCCTGCTCTCGGGGCCTTTCTTTGCATCGTGGCGCAGTCTCGTCCCTCGGCACGTGGGTTCCCTTTGGGGAAAGCAGGGCAGAGGTGCAGAGGCGGGCGCTGATGCTCCCTGCTTGCCCTTGTACGGCCTTCAGCCTGTAGAGCTAGTCCAAAGTAAAGACCTCAGCGCGTGGGGGCGTCGGGCCGGGGCCGCGCAGCAGCCGCGCTGCTCTGCAGCCCTGCTGTGCCGTGGGCCTTGCCAGCGTAGCGTAGCTGGAGACACTGCCTTTTTCAGTAAGGGAAAATAAACCTGCAGTAGTATCCCTGACGCTGTACTTACAAGGTGTTTCACATCAGGGATGTGTTTTCTGTCTCACAACTTTCTCGGTCAAAAGTTTTAGAGCCATTTGATGATCTAGTTTGTCTCCTCTCTGTAACACACAGCAGAATCCTACTTGGTTACTGCAACCCAAACTTGAATTCCTGCCCGGAGCGTCTCCAGAGCGGCGTGGCATCCGCCTTGGCGCCTGCAGGTCGCAGGCTCGATCCCTGCCGTGCGGGACACTGCTGCACTAAGTGCCACCCACTCCGTTTGAGGTTTGCCCAGTACGTTTCTGTCCCCGAAATGTCTTGACTGACTCGGTGCCTTTCGTGGGCTGCTTCCAGGGCCCAGCGCGCCAGATGTGCCCTTTGGCAGCTGACGCGCGTGCACTCGCGCAGGGAGCGCGTTTCTGGCGTCCCCGTTGGCTGCTCGCCGGCCCTCCCAGCGGGACCGCCCGCGGCAGCACCGGCTTCCTGACCTCAAAGGGCGCTCCAGAAAAACCAGAAACCTCGGCCTGGTGTTCATCGGCACGCATTTACACACTGAATAAGACACGTGGATTAGTCAGCTCCCTTTGTAAAGACCATTTTCTCTTTTTCATCATCTTTGAGATTTTTAAACCCATCTGAGATTTGGGTGCCCGGGTCCAATGAAAAACAAGGAGGAAAATTGCATCTCCAAATGGTACTTAGAAGCTTTGAAATTCCCAAGCAAACTGGCCTCATTTTGATTCCTCCCAGGAAAGGATATAATGGGCTAGAGAAAGCGAATCCTCAATACTCGCTGGGAAGAAACAAACCATAAATAAGTTAGGCCCAGGATACATGTGAAAGTGATTAAATCAGAGGAGACAAAAGGTTCATGTCTGTTGAGTGCTATGTGGTATAAAGGCTTTCCAGGACAGTACTAAAGAATAGTCATTTCCCTCCCCACCATGATGTCTTTCCAAGTTTTTCCCCTTGGGGAACTATACATGGAACAGAAGCATCTTGTCTGGGGAGACCTTTGAATATTTTCAGAATGAAAAATCAATATATGTATTTTCTATTTAGGAGAAGATAGTAGCATGAAGAGGGGAATTCCTTCTTCATTGTGTGCCAGATTAGACTCAAATTCATCAATATCTTTGCCCAACTTCTTAATAGGGGAAAAAAATGATTTTTTGAAATTTGAAGATTTACTTTATATATTTTGTCCAGACTGACTTCCATTCAGCCTATGCCTTTATTTTATTCCTTTCCTGACATTCTTTGTTTCCTTAAGGATTACCTGTGAGATTATCTGGCACTTCCTAGAGGATTTAAATTGACTGCATAGTGGAGCAATCCCTCAAAACAGTTATTGGGGTAGTGTGGTGTGTGTGGGAGCATTCAGGGATGTGAAGATAAAACAACCTGATGCTAATTCAGAGGGAAGGAGTCTCCCTGGGACCAGGCTGCTATGAGCACTGAGAGGAGAGAAGCTCCTCTGCTTCCCAGGCTGCTTTTGAAGGACCTCCCGCTAAACCGAGCACCCATATTAAATCCCTGGAACAACCGTTACAAAAACATTTAGGATTGCGTTAAATCCTGTCAGGAACAAAACTTGAGCAGCCTGCACCAACAGTTAGAAGAGAAGGATTCCCATAAAACGCACCAATCATCCTGGAAATAGGATATTTGTGATTCACGGGTTCTGGAGGAGCCTGTGGCCGAGCCCTGCCCCTAGGCCAGCCAGAGCCGCCCGGCCCTCTCCTCTCAGGAAAACCGGAGCTGGCTCAGTGCGTTACAGGCAAAATGTAAGGATTCACCTTGTTTTTTTAATGCCAGGTCTATTTTCTGTACTATATCTTGTAAATTATGGATTCCATTGCTGTTGCAGAGTTACTTCCCAATATACTTGTTCATCCTGATTAATATTGTCGTTAGCCTCTCAGCTCGCTTATTCCTGCATGAGTCTTTGAGAGTCAAGTATCAGTATTACTAAGGGCAGACAAAATACAAATCTGGCTCCAGGCCATCATTTGATGACTAATTCGTTAATACTTAAGGAAAAATAAATGTCACCTTTTCCAGTGAAATATGCGCATATATATTTTTACACTGAAAATGTAAACAGTGATGCAAGTCCTGGGAAACCTGCCAATGTGCCTGTCAGCCTGACACTAGCAATTTAGGTCTGTGTACCTTTGATGTATAATTTATGTGTAGCTGGGTAGATTACTGTACAAACTTTACGAAGAAATGAAATACCACCAGTACTGGCACAACTCGGGTCCTGGTGCTCGTGCTCAGCAGACAGCATCCACAGGATCTTGTGAGTTTGCCAAGAGTAAAGACTGCTTAAGTGTCTGGATATTTTAAATGCTTTGGTTAGCCCAGAGGTGTATCCGCTGCATCTCCTGTGACAGCCAATTGGTGGACAAGCAGCGAGGAACATCAGTAAAGATGGAACAGAAACCCCAGCTCCTGGGGAACAGGAGTCCTAGGGAGCGCGGGACCTGGATCCCGTTTTTCTTGCTTACGGGTACCAGTGTGCTCCTCTGGAGAATCTGGCTGTTCTCCAGCTGGAATGCCGCTGGGGGTGTTTTATTCAGGATACTTTTAGCTTAGAATGGCATTGGCATGTACATTTTTCTTCCATTTATAAAATACCCAGTTTTAGAGTTCTTTCTCAAATGCATAGTTTTGCTCCTTAGTAGTGAATGTGGAAGGGATTTTTCTGGCAGTCTCCTGCTGACATTGCTATCGCTCTGCGCTGTATTTGCTGGCTCTGCAAGGGACGCTGACTTTCTGTGTAGAGGGACAGAGGCAGCCCTGCAGACACCTCTCAAAAGCGCAAGGCAAGGAGCAGGACTGCTCTGGCGAGGCAGCCGGCGGCACAGGGACACGGTGCCCTCCAAGCGCCTCGTCCTCGCCCTGCTAACCCAGTGAAAATGGAGTGGGATGAGCAGCGGGAAGCGTCCGCTTGCTTGGGCCTCCCGTGGCATTGCCCCGCGCAGCACGAGCGCCGGTGCCCGGGCGCGCTGCCCTCCGGGACGCTGCACTTACGTGGCTTTGCCGCGGCGCGCGGCTCCTCCACCCTGTAGACCGAGAGCCGGTTCACGCCGCCGCACACGGAGCCCCTCTCCCCCTTGCACTCGCTGTTGCACTCCTCGGGCTTGGAGGCCGTGCTGGGCAGCCTGTTCCCGCAGTAGCACTCGGCTCCGTACTCCAGCCCGGCGTAGGCGTAGGCCCTGCAGGACACCCAAGGACGCGGCTCAGGCACCCGCATCCCTCCCTGGCAGGAGGGTTGCAGTTGCCCCCCCTGCGCCCCCCCCGCGCCCCGTTCGTACCGGGCTCCCTCCTCGGCAGCCCCGGGGGGCAGCGGCAGCCGAGGAAGGG